TTCTAGAGAATCTTCTGGGAACCTGAAGAGATGAAGAATAACAAGAAGAGGAAGCAGAAGAAGACGGGGTAGAAAAAGAAGGAGGTACATGATCAGATGTAAAGGTTGGAGCAATATGAGAGGATATAGGAGAAAAGGAAAAAAATAGGAGAATGGAAAGTAGAGAAGAGAAGAGGATCGGAAACAAAAATTTCAGAGTAGGTTGTAGAAATAAGGGATGAGGACATAAAAGGGTAACAAGTAAATAAATAAAAAAGAAAGATGAGCGAAGCTGGTGAGTGGACAAGCTAAATAGCTTGTAGCACTTCATGGCAAGAGAATATCCAAGAAACACATAAGATTCAGCCCTAGGTTAAAGTTTATTGATGTGACTCTTAGAAACAATGCCAAATCAAAGGCAACAAAAAATTTTAATGTATGTAAAGGAAGGTACATGTCTATGAAGCAATTCAAATGGGGATTTATCTTGCAATAGTTAAAAGGAAAACTTATTGATAAGGTAGATGGCAGTTAGTACACATTCACCCCAAAATCTAATGGGCTTGGATAGAAAAGGAGGGCTCCAGATATTTCAAGCAAATATTTATGCTTTTTTTCTACTACGCCATTCCGCTGAGGAGTATGTGAGCAAAATGATTTTGTGTATGATCCCATGATCCTTGCAAAACTGAGAAACAAGGTTACTAGAACCATGCTCTAGAGTATTATCACTTCTAATAGATTGAACAATGATCTTCAGTTGGGTGTGACCGATGGATACAAATGCTTGAACTAAAGAAAATACATTACTTTTGAAACCATAAGGTGTGTCCAAGTAGCTATAGTTAAAACATCAACAATGCTGAAAATATATTTAAAACCGTTGTAGGTAAGAGTAGAGCAAGGTCACCAAGTGTCAACATGAATAAGTAAAAAAACGATGGGAAGACTTAATACTGCTATAAGGAAAAGGCAACCTGGATTACCTAGCCATAGGACAAATAATACAAGTGAAAGGCTTCGTATAAGAAAATGTGCAAGAAATGTTAGTGATATCTTTTATCCTAACAAAGAGAATATGACCCAATCATTGATGCCATAACACTTCCTCTTTCTTATTGTCAGAATGATTTTTACAATACAAAATAGGAGAAATTGGGATAGAGGAAGACTCAAAAATAGCAGTAGAATATGTACAATACAGAAGAGCAATTGATTTAGAAGGTAAAATAATTGACTTTGAAAAATAGTATTTAGAATCAGCAAAGGGAGAGGGAGACATCAGTAGACTGTAGTGCCCATGCTCTAATTTACCAACTTTTAGTAGCCTCTTCAGTGAAGGGGAATGTAAGGTACAAGAATTAAAGTAAATTGAACAATGCCTTGAAGTTGAATAGTTAATTGACAGACAAAAAATAAGGTTATACTGAAATAAAGGAGCATAAAGTACACAATTTAAAGTAAAAGGAAAGAAACTGAGATTTACACAATTTAAAGTCTACACAAGTCACCTTTACCTTGTACCGATTAGGAAGGGTAACAAGGTAATAAGAGCTGACAATATATTACATTAGAAAGAAGGTCTTTATGATAATTCATATGATGTATAGGCCCAGAACCTTAAATACAACTGTATTCAGCTACTATACTCAACAAAGATGCACTATAAAATAATTCAACACATGCAACCAGAAAAAGATTACCAGGAAAATTAATAGATGCCACAAGGCTGGATTGAGACTGTCCTGGGTACGATCAGATAATTACCGATATATATTAATATCTTTTCTTAGAATATTCTTTAAAAATATCTATCTATATAGTAAACTCCTGACACATGAGTCTATTATAGCATGGGCATCAGCTACATGTAGTGCTCCTTAGTTAGACCAGGAACCAAAGAACCGCTATCAAACTGGGGTGTGCACAGAAGTAGAGGGCTCAGAACTGGAAGAAGGCATGTCGACCTCAACATTTGCAGCAACCTTTCTACCCTTAATGAACTTGAAATTATGCAAATAGCGATACAGCTTGTAACTCTTATCATTTAGAGGACTAGTTTTTTCGTAACGACTCGGCCGGTTGTTTTGAGAATATTAGCCCCAATACCCTATTTATTGCTCTCTATATTTTATTTTGTAGTTATGTGACTTGCCGGGGTGCTTGGTGTCAGGTTCGGGAGAGTTTCAGAGTGAAATGGGATACATAGTCCCTGAATTGGAAGATTAAGTCCTAGGAGTTGTCCGTAGTTTGACTTGTGTGAAGACGACTCTGGAATAAAGTTTTGACAGTTCCAATAGCTCGGTAGGGTATTTTGGTAACAGGAGCATTGCTGGATGTTGATTTGGAGGTCCGTAGGTCATTTTGGCGTTAATTGGCGAAAGTTAGACAGTTGGAAGATATTGAAAAGTTTGACCGGGAGTGTAATTTTTTATATTAGGGTTGTATTCTTATTCCGGAAGTTGTAATGCGTCCGTGATGTGAATTATGACTTGTGTACAAAATTTGAGATCAATCGGACTTGATTTGATAGGGTTCAACATCAAATGTAGAATTTAAAAGTCTATAAGTTCATTAGGTGTGAATTGGATTGCGATTCATATTTTTGACGTTGTTTGAGGTGATTTGAGGCATCTACTAAGTTCGTATCGTGTTTTAGCGCTTGTTGGTATATTTGGTTGAGGTCCCGGGGGCCTCGGGGGTGATTCAGATCCATATCAAATCAATTGTTGGATTTGTGTTTTTTTTGAAAAATCATAGCTTCTGTTGTCATTGCACCTTAGGAGGTTATGACTGCAGGTACGGACCCGCATGTGCGACTAAGGGAACACAGAGTCGGAGAAGGCTTCTCAGGCCAGGGCTCACAGGTGCGAAAAAGGTTACATCAAAGCGGCATCGCTTCTGTGATGAGGAGATGCGCAGGAGCGACTGTGGTTGCAGGAGCGACTGTAGTCGAAGGTGCGGCACATTTTGCCACAGGTGCGCACGCGCAGGTGCGGCCCGTGGCTCACAGAAGCGGACTCTGTTGACTTTAGTGAAATCCGCACCTGCGATTATTTTTCCGCAGGTATAGAGGAGCGACTGCGGTCGCAGATGCGACGCATTTTGTCGCAGGCGTGCAGGTGCGGCCCTTGGCTCGCAGAAGCGGACTCTGTGGGCTTTTCCGCAGATGTGGCGGCAAGGTCGTAGGTGCAACATAACTGGGTAGAAAAGAGATTTTTTCGAGGGTTTGCTTCATTTTTATTATTGGGACTTTGAGAGATCGGATTAAGGCGATATTTTAAGGGATTTTTAGAAGAAGCATTTAGGTAAGGATTCTTGACTCATTTTTTGTTAATTCCCATGAATCTACTATTAATTACTTCTTTTAATTATGGTCTTGGAGTTTAAAATTGAAAAAATAGTATAGAAGTTCTTAGACCAAGTTTTTGGGTTTTGAAAGGTTAAATGAGGTCGTATTTGAATAATTCTTATATGGTTAGACTCGATATCGAATGGGTGTTCAAATTTTATGATTTTGGTCGGGTTCTGAGACATGGGTATGGATCGACTTTTTGGAGTGATTTTTTAATTCTTAGCTAAGATCATTATTTCATTATTTAAATTAGTTTTCTATAGTTATATTTATAGTATGAAATTATTTTGGCTAGATTCGAGCCGTTTGGAGTTGAAAAATCGAGGGAAAGGCCTTCTAAATGATTGATTGAGCGTGGTTTGAGGTAAGTGACTTGTCTAACGTTATGTGAGGGAAATTTTCCTTAGGATTTGTTATTTTGGTGATAATTTGTGATATGTAAAGGTCGTGTACACAAGGTGACGAGTGCGTACACGGGCTAAATGTCGAAATTCCAATTTTTTCTACGTAGTTTCCTTTTTATGCCTTAATTGAGTTACTTTAGCACGTTATAGTCATCATGTTTAGCCTAATTTTACATGTCTACTTGTCTTATCTCCTATTTGCAACTTATGTCACATGTTTAGTTGAATGTTTTGCTTTTCTTGATTTTCATATTCATTACTTAAATATGAAAATTCTTTACTTGAAATTGCGATCCTAGAAATATCATTTATTTGGTTGTTGCTTTTTGCCTTTCCTGTTATTATTGAGGTGATTATTTGATTGTTTGCACGAGGTTCCTGTCGTACTGTTGTTATTGTTGCACGAGATTTCTGTCGTGCGGTTGTTATTGTTTGCACGAGGTTACTGCTGTGCGGTTATTATTATTGCACGAGGTTTCTGCCGTGCCGTTGTGATTATTGATATGCATGCGGCGGTATAAGGTCTGGGTGTTAAAACGCATGCGGTGAGATAAGGTGGTCTTGATATGCATAGCTAGTAGAGGAACTACTAGAAGCCATGAGGTATGATAGGTGGGATAAAACACGAGATGCTATTTCGGAAAAATAATTTTTATAAACCAAATATAAAGGCTCCCGTGATGATATAAGGAAAGACTGTGATTTGTTTTAATGGTTTGGGACAACGAGGCGGTACCTCAGGAGTGCCCCTGTTGATATTCTTTATTTGCTGTATTGTTTGGTTCTTGTTTTTCTTAATATGTAAAATTTTTGTTTTTCTTTCGTATTGTATTAGCTTTCCTTGATTCTATGTTGTTATTTCCCGTAAATTCTTTATTGTTCACTTCCCTGTCATTTTCATTATATCATATTATCTCTGTCTTGTTTCTTATTATCTCTAGTAAGGCCTTGACCAGACTTCGTCACTACACTACCGAGGTTAAGCTTGACACTTATTGGGTACTGTTGTGGTGTACTCATACTACGCTTCTGCACATATTTTGTGTAGATCCAAATACATCCTATCAGCCTCGGTATTAGTGTGTTGTGTTATTACTTGGAGACTTCAAGGTACATATACCTGCGTCCGCAGGCCTCAGAGTCCCCTTCTGTAACACCCCTGACTAATTGAGGGCATATTAGTCATTAGCAAATTAAAAAAGAAAAGAAATTTAAGATAAAGTAATCGTAACCCAACTAACAAGAGATTTAGAGACATTGTATTCTCTGCTGACACAATGATCGTCGGAAAATTAGGGATTGGGAACGAAGCACTAGAGCTTCGGCGTAAACTAACACCATCAGGAAGGAATATTTTTTTGAGAGAAAAAGGTGAGACGGAAGAAGAGCAAACATAGAAGGTGCTAGTTTCTCTTAACTAGAAGCCAATTAAAGTGATTGTAGATTTGAGAAATCTACAAGGCCAATCTTGAGTTGACGTGTGGAAGAACGAAGGTAATATGAACTATCTATTTCCTTGGTAGATTTCTTTGAGATTCTCTTCCTTAACCCAATACTTAGCCTATTACTAGTTATTGTTTTACTAAGGGTAGAAACAAGGAAAAGGAATTTGAAGTTTTTTCAAGATAACACGGTTATGAATTTTCTATTGGATGAATAAAGATTATATAAGTCCATTAGCAAGCACTTTAGTGCAGAGATTATGAGTGCTTGTGAAACATCAAGTGAAGACAAGAGTATTGTTAACTATTTTGGTCCAACAAATCAGTTTCCTTTTTTGATCCTCTACATATAATACTATTAGTCCAAGTATAAGAACAAACAGAGAATATGATATAGCTTCTTTTCCATTTGATTAATAGCGAGTAAGTGGTCACACTTTGAGGAAAGAAAATTTGACTGGATTCATTTGGCTTTACAGGTAGTTCACAATGTTGATTTGTCTATTGGTTATGCAATAATATAGGTAGTGGCAGAAATCGAACTAAGTGCTCGAAGTGGCGCGTTTGGTATTTCGATACGAGTACTGTGATTAGTAATCTTACCGTAACTTGTGTTTTTATAATTTCCATAGTTTATACATGATTTTGCAAATAGTAATTGTTATCGAATGTTTGAAATTTGCCTGTGGGACAAATCGTTTACTTGATATGGTACTAAACAGTTTACTTGAGATATTTACAGTTATTTAAAATGTTTTCACTGCTACTAGACACGTTTTACTATTATTTGAGATATGATTACTATTACCGAAAATGAGATTACATTATTTGATAAGAATTGAAATGCCCAGTACTATTTTGAAAATACTTTCCTATGAATATTTACTACTTACAAAGAAAAGTATAAATGGGAGGAGACTTTGAAGGATCCCGTACCTAACGGTGGGTTCGTTAGACCTGGTGCACCTTGTATGTACAGATTACCGATTACAGTTATAACCCTCGCTAGTGGGAAGGTAGAACTAGCATACATTTATAGTTTTCCCTCGAATAGGGACCTACAATTATATTTGACTCCTTTTACGAAGGGGTCCCCACAGTGATACAGATCACATGATCATTTCTTGGAAACCTCCCAAACATAAAGAATTGATATGACATAGTGCTTACTGAGTTTATTACTGAATTGTTTAATTGATTTTTTTCTACAGGAAACACATGATGAGACTGATTATTGTTACCGTTTTGAAAGTACATTTAATTTTTTTAATAAGTTTTTATTACTATTATACATCCATGTATTTCTGACTTGTCCCCAATTAAAAACGGTTGTGGTTAAGTATTATTATTCACTGAGCTAGCGACTCACTCCCCGCTATTTTTTTTACAGAGACAGCAATTGACGCTAGCGAGAATTTCATTAATTAGAGTATACGAGTTGACAGTCCCTCATGAGTCCCATACTAGTTCGCGTGGGAAAAAAGTTTATTTATTGTTATCGTCTTTTCTTTTGAACTCTTAGAGCCGCTCCATAGTTATTTTTATTAGTGTCATGAGTATTCATTCGTTATGTTGGACTAGTTAGTAGTATTGCACTTTTTTTCCGTATTTTTGAGATGGGATTAGTATTATTATATTGGTAAGGTTGGTAGTATTAGTGAAAACTCGTTTTCAGTTAGTTGATGAAGACTGTGACTGGTTTAGGTGAATATTGGTTGGTTGTTATTTGTTTATGAGACAGGAAAACTTTTTGAAAAGTCCTAAAACAGGAAAAATTCTGTCCGATTTTCTGTAAAATACCGATGAGACTTACTTGGGAGTACTTGCTCCTAAGCGCCGATCATGATCCTAAATTGGTTCGTGACACCTTCTAGTATGTTTTTCCTTATTTCCTTATTTTTTTGACAGGCAATGATGTATAGAATTATTCAGTATCGTATTCAAATCTTGTGACTTATATCTCACCGGGTTTTGAAAAAATAGTACGTATTGAGCTTGTAGTCATTGGTGAAATTGTTGAAGTTTTAAAATTTTAAGATTTTATTTGATGTTTTCGCATATTGTTCGGCTTACCTAGTCTTAGAGACTAGGTGTCGTCACGATATTCTACGGAGGGGATTTGGCGTCGTGACATCTGTTTTACAGTATTTGCCCATCTCACTTTCTCTATTATGATCAAAAGACTCTCTTTGAGGGTGTTTCCTCTAAAAGGAAAACGTTTGAGGAAGATTGACAGAGGTTGCATTAAAGGAAGCTAACTCAGGACTGCACTAGGGAGGGGGATTGACATGTGTCTACATCTCATCCTCAAGAATAATATTATAAACACTGTCTAATGATGGAGGTGGTTACATCATGCAAAAGCTATTTCTTACACATATATAAATCTCATTTAACCCCATAAGGAACTGGTGAAGTTTGTCCTCCTCCTCCCTTCCCTTCAAATACCAGCTTTAGTCCCTATGCTCCTCCCGCAACATTTGCAAGAGAGCCCTAGTTGGTGGAGGCTAATTCCTTCTTAATCTCGAAGCTCTTAGTCCCAATTTACAATCGCATGCCTCCAATTTAATAGTTTCCAAATGTTCTCAATTGTCTTGGAGTACTATACCCTAATAACAATAATGGGAGACAAGGAACTAGTCAACCAAAAAATAACCATATTATTGCAATGATCCTACTATTTGCACTCTGGTGAAGTGGGAGATAATTTAAAGAGTAACGTCAATAAACTCAATTTTATTTCTAGCCGACAAAAACAAAATAATACTCCTTCTCCAACCTCTAAAACTGGATCGGGAGAAAGGAATAGTAACCAAAGTCATACCTGGTACGCTAATTAGCTAGATCGATGTTCAGATACTATGTAAAAGTGCAAAACATTGATCGGGATCGGAGAAAATTCATTAGGTTTAGGTGTAGAAGAACTTCTGTTGAGAGAGAAAGATCTACAACATTTTCAATTCGGGTCAAAATAAATAAATTGTTGTCTGATCACATAGGACTACTGCTATATATACAATTGAGCATGACCGAAACAAGTCAACCAATAAAAGAATATACTTTTGGCCCTCTAATACAAGAAAACTATAAAAGCACATAAATTATGCTACAGTTGTGGGCCGTCATCCGATGCTTTGAATTTAGACTTCCAGCTACAACTCATCACATCAACAAATTTCTGTACAAAGATTAATAGGTGCTAAAATAGAACAAGTAAAAAGTGTCGAAGGATGTCGTGATGACACCTAGTCTCTACGACTAGGTAAGCCTAACAAATAATTATAACTGAACATATATAAATTAACAAGTTACTGAAAACAACTGAATAATAGATAAATCCTTCCGAAAACAAAATCTCACAATACACACCCCAAAACTGGTGGAACTGAGACATAAACTCTACAGAATATAACTAGAGTACTACTACATCACTGTTCGAAAGAAAAATTCAACAAGAAGTAAAATAGGGAAGGTAACTTCGAGGCCTGCGGATGTGGAGCGGGTATACCTTGAAATCTCCCAAGCAGCAGCTACAATAACCTCTAACGACCGGCAAGAGCAGACATACCTGGATTTGTACAAAATGATGTGCAGAAGCGTAGTATGAGTACACCACAACAGTGCCCAGTAAGTATCAAGCCTAACCTCAATAGAATAGTGATGAGGCCAGGTCAAGACACCTACTAGGATATGAAATAAACAGTATAATATGTAATACGGATAAGTAACGAAAAGTGCAAAATAACTGATACGGAACAAGATAATAGCAAGAACTAGTACCGGAAGTTAACAATAGAAACAACATAAAAAAAAAAATAAAGTGCTACAATGATCATGTACGGACTACAACAACTAGAATAATAAAGAATGAAGCAACACGAAATATTCCTTCCACAACACTTTGCAACATGAAACAAAGAACAAGAAACACAACGAGGCACCACCTCGTGTATAATGAAATCAAACTGAGGTACCACCTCGTACAATAAAGAATCATAACTGAGTTACCGCCTCGTATTCACATTTCTCAATTTCAATCACAATCTTTTCTTATACCGCCGCGTGAGCCTTATATTTGAATATAGGTTTTGAAAAAAGTTTTTCCGAAATAGCTACACGCACTTTAGCCCACTTTATAATGCCGCGTGGCTTCACGTAGTTCCCATACAAGCAACACGCATATAAGTACCACCTTATACCGCCACATGCACATCAACCCAAGCCTTATACCGCTGCATGCTCATCAATATCATATCACAATAACAATTCGTACTAAAAGTGCCCACATATCATAACTTGCCAACAACAACAATATCAATATTTCCACAACGATAGTCCATGGCTCCACCACAACGTATACAAGAATATCAACAACAACAATGGATGAAAATGCTCAATAAGATAGATGTTTCAACAATAGCCAATATCGCCTCAATATATGACGATTGTAACAACTTCAACACCAATTAACTCAACAATGAGAAAAATAAGGTATAACCACGATATTAGATAAGACTAACTCATAATAAAAGAAATAATATTCAACAGTGAGTCTCAAATCATGGAAATCAACAAGTAAAGGGATAACATGACCAGTTAATTCATCAATGATAATTAACAATGAAGAGATAACATGTAACAATAAAGGAGCAATATGTTCAACTAAAGCATGGGAGCAATTTAACAATCAAGATGTAGAACAAATACTAAACAAGTCAACTAAGGCATTTAAGGATAGTCTAACATAATTAAGAATAATTTGACTATGAGAGTTTAGAACATAATATGGCATTTCAATTAAAGCATGGAATTAGTCTAAGTAGCCTAAATCGGTCAAATACTACGTACAACCCGTGTACCCACTCGTCACCTTGCGTACAAGGATTTCACTTAGCACAATCGAATCAAACAATACCAATCATAAGGGATAGTTCCCCCACATGAAGTTAGGCAAGATACTTACTTCACCTAGGCCAATTCAACACTTGAAAATAGCTTTTCCCTTAAATACGTCTCCACACTGCCCAAATCTAACCAAAATCGACTCAATTTTATCGAACAATACTAGAGAGTTCAATTGCAATAGATAAAGTTAAGATCTTTATACTTTTTTTAAAAAGTCAACAAAAGTTAACTCGGGGCCCGCCCGATCAAAACCTGGGTCCAATGGTAGATTCCGTCTACCCATGACCCCACGAGTTTATATATGTGAGAATTTTCAAAATTCGTGTCCAAATCGACTCTCAAAACTCAAATTCTTATTTTTCAAAAACTTGACAAAGTTTCATAAATTTCTAATTTGATTCACATGATATTTATGTTAAAATCTAAGATATGATGATGGAATATGATTAGAAATAGATTAGAATTACTTACCTAGGGTTTGTAGGTGAAAATCCCCTCTCCAAATCGCTTTCTGCCAAGTCTAGGGTTAAAAAATGAGACAATGAGAGATAAATCCTAACTTACAGCCCTTATGTTCAGCTGCAGATATCGCAATTATGATATGGGTTCACAATTGCCAAGAAAGCCTCGCAAATGCGGCACTTAAGGCTTGGGAAGCTCTTCACAAATGCGAAGATGGGATCATATTTGTGACCCCTGCTGCCCTCGCAAAAGCGAACATAGCCCAGTCCAGAAGCTCTTCGCAAATGCGACCAAGGCATTGCATTTGCGATAACTAGGATTCCTGCTATAGTCGCAAATGCGACCTTGGTGTTCGCAATTCGACACTAGAGGGCACCAGACACCAACTGCTATTTTCGGTCCAAAACACTTTCAGAACGTGTCCGAAACTCATTAGAGCCCTCCAGGGTTCAAACCAGAAATTCACAAAAGTCTTAAAATACCATACAAACTCGTTCGCGTGATCAAAACACAAAAATAACATCTAAAAGTACGAATTGAGCTCTAAAATGCATAGAATTCAAAGGAAAATTTCAAGAACTTCTATAATTACAACTAAGCATCCGAAAACCTTTCAAACCAACTCCAAACGACACCAAATTTTGCAGACAAGTTCTAAATGCCATGACGAACCTATTTGAAGTCCCAAAATCAAATTTCGAGTTCGATAGCTAAAAGTCAACCTTCGGGCAAACGTTTCAACTTTAAATTGCCAAATTTCGGCAAATCAATACAAATCAACCTACAGACTTCCAAAATCAATTCTGCGCATATGCCCAAGTCCGAAATCACTATACGAAGCTATCCGAGTCATAAAAATATAGCTTCGGGGTCGTTTTCACAAAAGTCAAAATTTGGTCAACAATTTCAAATTAAAGCTTCTAAGTGTAGAATCAAGGGTCCAAATCAACCCGAAAGCTTCCCGTAACGAAACTAATCAACCAAGTCATAAAAGCATAAACGCATAAGTGTGAAGCAATAAAAAGGGTAACGAGGCACAATTAGACAAAATGACCGATCGGGTCGTTACATTCTCCCTATCTTAAATCAAACGTTCTTCCTCGAACGTGCATAAGAACATACCTAAAGTGGTGAATAGATGAGGGTAACGATTTCACATGACCCCTCTATTGAACCTTCACTGAAGCAATATCCTTTGATCTCAACTTCCAGACTTGCCGGTCCAAGATAGCCACATGCTCCTCAATGTAAGTCAAATCCTCATCCAACTGGACTGTGCTGAAATCTAGAACATGAGACATCCCATAGTACTTCTGGAGCATAGAGACATGGAACACTAGATGAATCGCTGATAAACTAGGTGGCAATGCAAGCTTGTATGCCACCTCTC